GTTTTTTAAACTCAAAGTGGGTTTCTTTGCCCAGGGTCAGCATCGCCGGGGAGCTTCTTAGAGGGGACAACCCTGGGGCTCCCCCAGACCTGCTGCATCGGGATCTGCATTTGGGAAGATGCCCTGTGGTTTCTGTCCCTGCCACTTTTTTTTTTTTTTGAGACAGAGTCTCACTCTGTTGCCCGGGCTAGAGTGAGTGCCGTGGCGTCAGCCTCGCTCACAGCAACCTCAGACTCCTGGGCTCAAGCGATCCTCCTCGCATCTTAGGTCCCTAATCCCTGCTGCAAAGCCCCTTCTGCCTCGGGAGGCGACATATTCACAGGCTCCAGGGGTCAGGACGGGGACATGGGGGGGGGGCTTTGTTCTGCCTGCCATAGTCACCCACCCCGCGATGTCACTGAATCTATGCTGTGACCCAGTGTCATGTTGTCACCCTCAGCTCCTATCCCAATTTCCCAGATGAGGACGCTGAGGCTTGGATGGGTGACGGCCCTTAATTAGCGTCTCACCTGGTACCTGGGCTTCAGGCTCCCGCCCCTCACCCCCTCTGCTTCCTAAAATCTGCAAGTTAAGATCTCTGTGACACTAGGAGGGACGAGGAGAGGAGGCTCTTGTCTTGCACGCTGAGGGATCGTGTTTGCACCTAGTGCCTGAGTTTTTCCGTTTGCCGGGGACGGGGAAAACCTGCCGGGGTCTTCCTGCAAACGCTCCGTCCTTCCCGGGGTGAAATTCTGACCTGGCTACTTCTGCCCGAAGAAAGGTGGCTTGGGGCTCCCCCGGTGCCACCCAGAAGTCGTTTTCTTCCCCTTGGTGGCTGCGGTTCTACCCGGCTTGCACCGTGGGGCGTGCCGTTCACGGTTTGCAATGAAGGAAGCCTCGGCCTGGCAGGCCGGGGGGCAGCCGGGGCCGGGGCCGGGGTGGGCAGGACCTGGCTTGAGATGCAGAGAGCCGGGCTCTGGGCGGCCCCTGCGTGACCCCCGCCCGACCGCGGGACAGAGCAGGGCCTGTGCCCACCGCCGAGCCCCATGCAGCAGCCCTGGGTGCCACTTGCTCTCTCGCCACCGCGGGTCCGATTCCGGGGAAGGAACCGACTGTCTTCCTTGGAGCACGTGCAGATTGGAGGCCGCTGCGTGCCAGGTACTGAGGCTCAGCGATGTGGTCGCAGGGGCAGCTTCGAGAATGTTCTAGAAACCACCAAACTGTACATTTGAAAAGGGTCGATTTTACGGCGTGTAAATGACACCACAGGTTTTAAAATGTAAAGAAAAAGGGGGAGGGCCGGGCGCGGTGGCTCACACCTGCAATACTAGCACTCTGGGAGGCTGAGGCGGGAGGATCGCTCGAGGTCAGGAGTTCGAGACCAGCCTGAGCAAGAGCGAGACCCCGTCTCTACTAAAAATAGAAAGAAATTAATTGGCCAACTAATATATATAGAAAAAATGAGCCGGGCATGGTGGCGCATGCCTGTAGTCCCAGCTACTCGGGAGGCTGAGGCAGGAGGATCGCTTGAGCCCAGGAGTCTGAGGTTGCTGTGAGCTAGGCTGACGCCACGGCACTCACTCTAGCCCGGGCAACAGAGTGAGACTCTGTCTCAAAAAAAAAAAAAAGGAGGGTGCGCTGGCCGAGGCCAATGCACGAAGGCTCCTTTCCCGCCGTCTGCTCTGGTGCTCTGCCTTGGCCCCCGCCGTGCGGCCCCAGGGCCACGCGTGGCTCAGAGCCTGGCCTCCAGGACGTGGTTTGGGGAGTTGTGACCGAGCGCCGCGCTCTCCCTTTGCCGTTGGCCGCAGATGACGTCCGGCTGTTCGCCTTCGTGCGCTTCACCACCGGGGACGCCATGAGCAAGCGGTCCAAGTTCGCCCTCATCACGTGGATCGGCGAGAACGTCAGCGGGCTGCAGCGCGCCAAGACGGGGACGGACAAGACCCTGGTGAAGGAGGTCGTGCAGGTAAGCCCCCCGTGTTCCCGCGGGGCCCGGGAGGCCCCTCCGCGCAAAGCCTTGCCCTGCGGCAGGGGCAGAGGGGCTGGGTCTGAGTCCTGGGTCTGGGGCTCAGCTGTGACTTTCAACAAGCCCTGCTGGGTCTCCGGGCCCTGGAGCCACGGGTGACGCGGTCAGGTGGTTTCGGGGCGCCGCTGGGAGGAGGTGGCCGAGCTCGTGACCCCGGCCATCGCGGTGGGTGGGGCAGGTCGCCCGCAGAGAGGGGGGGCTGGCTCCCTCCCGTGGTGGCCATGGGGACCCCGAGGGGGATGCACTGTGTCCTACCTCAGTGGTGCCTTCACATCCTGGCCGTTGAAGGAAATGGACACTTTCAACGTTGGAAACTTTTTTTTTTTTTTTTTTGAGACAGAGTCTCGCTCTGTCGCCCAGGCTAGAGTGCCGTGGCGTCAGCCTAGCTCACAGCAACCTCAACTCCTGGGCTCAAGCGATCCTCCTCCCTCAGCCTCCCGAGTAGCTGGGACTACAGGCATGCGCTGCCATGCCCGGCTAATTTTTTTTTCTACATATTTTTAGTTGGCCAATTAATTTCTTTCTATTTATAGTAGAGACGGGGTCTCGCTCTTGCTCAGGCTGGTCTCGGACTCCTGACCTTGAGCGATCCTCCCGCCTCGGCCTCCCAGAGTGCTAGGATGACAGGTGTGAGCCATCGCGCCCGGCCTCAACATTGGAAACTTTTAAGGCAGTCAGTTCGGGGTTAGGGTGTGGGGTCATATTGAAAAGAGGAAATCTGAATTCCGAAAAGCCAACCTAGAGGGAGGGGTAGGCGAGAGAGAGAGAGAGAGAGAGAGAGAGAGAGAGAGCTCTTTCCCCACCAAACCCCGAGAAGCCAGGACTGCTCTCTCTTTGGGTGCCTTTAAACCGCTGTTTATGTCCAGACACCCGTGTGGCAGGTCCCTGCCGCAGCCTGTCCGTATGGGGGGTGAGGGCCCCAGCGCCACCCCCGCCCCACCTGCATCGTTTTACAGATACGAAACAGTGTGACTGGCTCACAATAAAGTGAATGTTTAAAAATGTTTAAAAGCAGGCTAACGGTGGGCGTGGGTCATAGCTAAAGGACGCGGGGTTTCCTCTGAGGCGATGAAAATGCCCTAAAATTGTCACGGCCGTTGCACATATGTGTGAGTATGCCAAAAACCCACTGAATTGCAAAAAACAACCAAACAAAAGGCTGTATATCAATACAGTGTGATGATCTGGATTGGAGCCGTGAACAGAAAGCCTGGTGAGATGTGAATGAATCCCAGAGTTTAGTAAATGGTAACACCAACGCCCGTGTTGGCTGTTTCACCGTGATGTGTGTGCCGCAGTGGCGTGACGTGGCCAGCTGGGGAGACTGTGCGTGTGCGCGTGCATGCGTGTATGTGTTTGCGTGTGTGTGCGCGTGCATACGTGTATGTGTTTGCGTGTGTGTATGTGTGCGCGTGCATGCGTGTATGTGTTTGCGTGTGTGTGTTGTGGGGATGGGAAACTCTCAGTACTGCCTCTTACAACTTTCTTGCACATCTAAAACTCTTCCAAGATAAAAATTTTATTTAAAAAATAAACTCCCGTCGTTTCTCTGTCACCGCCTGCTTTCTGATCTCCCCGTGCCCCCCTCGGGCGGGCCGCCCCCTGCCCGTCCGCACTGTGCAGGCGCGGCCTGACCCCGCATGTGGTCGGCAGCTGCTTTTCTTTTCTTTTTTTTTTTTAGGTTAATATAATTTCATAAATTATGTGGCTGCACTGTCTTTGCAATTAGTGTTTTCCTGGTAGCAGCGTGTCCCATTTCACAAGTGCACTGTCTCGTACCAAATGTTCCCCAGCGCGCGGCCTCTTGAGTGGCTTCCAGTGTCTGTTTTTGTGAATATTGTTCCAAGCAACATTTTGGTTCACACAGCTCCTTTCTCTCTCCCATCGAATTGTTTCTTTAGAATACATTCTCAGGAGGTATGGGGTTCTGTTCTGGCATTATTAGTCATGACAAATCAGTTTTAAAAGGGACGGGTTGTCAGATGGCTTGAGCGAGGTGGCGTCATCGTAGCTCACAGCGACCTCAGACTCCTGGGCTCGAGCGATCCTCCTGCCTCAGCCTCCCGAGTAGCTGGGACTACAGGTGCACACCACCATGCCCGGTTCATTTTTCCACTTTTTGTAGAGATGGGGGTCTCGCTGTGTTGTTCAGGCTGGTCTCAAACTCCTGGCCCAAAGTGATCCTCCTGCCTCAGCCTCCACCCTCGCCAAGGTGGTTGGGATAACAGGCGTGGGAGCCCACGTGCCCGGTCAATACAAATTGGCACCTTTTGAAAGGGTTAGCCCACGTGCCCTGGGAACACTTGAGGCCCATCTGCTCCCAGTAAAATGTCTTCATCTTCAACCATCCCAATTAAAGCGTGGCCCCCAGTGAGAGAGAGCCACCTCGTGCTTGTTGCAATTCTGGGCCTGGGAACCTGGCTTTGGAAAGTCACTTACTTAATGCCACAGGGCATTTTTCTCCAGGCCAGTTGGGTTTTATGGTTAAACTGGGCTTTCCAGGCTCTTCTGGTGGCAGCCAGGAATGGAAAAATGGCAAAGAATGCTTGTTGCATGGCCAAAGCCCTCCTGCTGAGTCCTGCCTGCCCCTGCTCTTGGGTGTGGCAGGAGGACCCGCAGGGAGGGGCTGCTGCCAGGATGCACCACTGGGCACGGCCTTTTGAATCTTGCAGTTCCTTTTTTCTTTCCATTTAAAAATTTGATGTAGGCCGGGCGGCGCGAGGGTGCGCTCACCGCTGGTAATCCTAGGCAACTCTGGGAGGCCGGAGGCGGGCGGATTGCTTCAAGGTCAGGAGTTCGCAAGCCAGCCCTGAGGCAGAGCAAGACCACCA